TAGCCACACGGTGGAGGCGACACGGATGAACCTAAGTGAAATTAGCCAGTCACAAAAGGACAAACACTGTATGATGTCACTTACATGACGTATCAGATTCATGTTAGACTGTCTACAGGAAGTAGAATGGTGGTTGCCAGGGGCTGGGGGAGCAGAAAGGGGAATGGGGAGAGTAGTGTTGAATGGATGTGGAGTTTCAGTTTAGGAAGATCAAAAAAGTTCTGGAGATGGATGGTGGTGATGGTTACCACAACACTGGGAATGTCCTTCTTGTCACAGAATGTATGCTTTTACTGACTAGCACCCTGCCCATGGCCCTCCCCTTACCCCCCACCACGTTCTGCTGCTCCCAGTTCTGTCCTCCAGGAAGCCCTCTACAACGGGCTGCCCTCCCCAGGGGTTCCCAAGCCATCCTGTGCTTTCCCTGTCATGGCTCGTAACACACTGAATTACAATCACTGATTGGCTTGTCTTTGGAGAGCAAGATTCATGTCTTGCTCACCTTTGCATCTCCATCAGTGTCTGGCATGGAGTCAGCCTCCATAACTCTTTACTGAATTAAGAAATTTTGCACTAAGGAATAGCCTCATTTAAGAAATATTAGGGCTGTAAGATACAGTTCTCTTCATAGATTTTAATATGTTATCCATGGTCTTTGACAAATCAAGTAGTCCCCAGAAAATAAGGTTATAGGAAACAGCAGATTATAAATGTAAGGCTACATAATATAATTAATGAAGATAAATATGTTTGTGTAGTTGACCCTGCAGAGATATCATAATGGAAAACTCCTTCTGTTTCTAGAAACTAACAGATGTACAGGCTGCATTCTTTAACCATGATCCACTACAAACAGAATAAAACAACAAAAACCAAATCTAGAAGAAAGAAAAACAAGTACGATTATAAATATAAAATGGGATATCAGAAGTACTGAGAGAAATTTAAAACTGCGGTACTAATGCGTGTGGCTACATACTAATCTTTTGGCTGGTTTTCTGAAAAAAATACATAATTCCAAAATTGACTCAAGAAAAATTAAAAAGCTATGGGACTGATAATGTAAGGAATACTTGTTGGCACTGTGTCCATAGTATTTGACAGTGACGTCTTTCAAACTTATAAAAGAGATCTATTCTGACAATATAGAAAACTTGGAATCCTACTTAATTAATTTTGTTAAATATTAGTATCCTGTTATTAAAAGATGACCCAGATGGCTGAATAGAAGGAAAATGGAGATTTCTGGAATCTGTACCTTGTCTTCGCTTTGTCAGACTCTGGCTGATTCTTTTCACCTCATTTCTGATTTTCAGTGAATTCTCAGCTGGTTAGGGTTTCTCCAAGTCCTCCAGCCCTTCAACTGGTCTTCCAGGAAATGCTTACTCATTTTCTCAGAGTCTCTTTGATTTTGTCACTCTTTGTCTCTCTGATTGTGGCACATTGGGTGGGAGGGTGTCCGAATTTTCTCATCTGTGACGTCCATCACCCTCACCCTGCATTTTGCCAGCCTTTTCCCAGCACCCAGGCTAACAACCACATGTTCCCCTATCAAACTTAAGGGGCAATAAGACTGCAGGTCAACCCTGTGTGTTTCATAATTCACTCTATAGTCAATAAACTACGATGCAGAAAACAAATCCACTTCATACACCCATTTTGCTTCTTCTTACTTATATAAATGGCTTTGAATTTGAGTCATTTAGATTTCCAGCAAATTTCAGTGACCTCGTTTCATTTGTTAGAATAAGGGCATATTTAAAGCAAGGTAAGGTTTGCTTACAAAGAAAGCAGAGAAAGAAAAATGTCTAGAACTTTCTTTCACTTCGATCTAGACTAACTTAAAATATTATTCTGTATTCATTCTTGGCTGAGTTATACTGCAGAAATCCCAAAGTCTTCGTGGCCAACATAAGGGTTTATTTCTCTTAAGTCACAAGCCCTTTATGAGTTAGCCCCACGTTGTATTTATTCCAGGGACCAGAACGAAGGAGCAGCCCCTATTTGGTGTAGGTGTTTTTGTGATAGAAGGGAAAAAGAAATGGCAGAACACAAGATGGCTTTGAGACTTCTCTTTGGACATCCATCACTTTCATGTATGACTTTCCCTGGCATTTAATTGGCCAAAGCCTGACATCAGTGGGCAGGGAAATAGAATCCTCTCACATGTTGGGGAAAGAAATAGTTGGACATAATAAAACCTATTACAGCCCATACTTTTGCACCCCAATATTCATTTTCCTCCCTTCAGCCACAAAATATACTCCTCCCTCCCCAAGGGAAACACCCGAAAGTCCCATCCAATTACAACATATAAGACTCAAGATCTAGAATCTCATGATATACATTGAATCTGGGTGTGGCTCCTCCTGATTGGAGACTCTATAACTAAAAAGAAAAAAAATCCCCCCACTCCCCCCCACCACACTCAACATAGAAAGGCAGAACAGACTCAGGCTAACTACCCCAAACAATCCTATCCAGAAAGGGAAAAAAAAAAAAAATGGAAGACAGATAGCAATCAAAAGGTGCTTGGAGAAGTTCTAAACTCTTGTTGAACAGACCTTGGAGTGAGGAATATTCCTTGATTAGACCCTAGTTCTGCTTCCTGGAAACTGCTCTTGAGTTCACTGCATGATTTCAATCAAGCATGGTTCCCAGCTTTGCCGTCTGGGAGATCCATCCCTTTGCACTAGTCAACTAGTACTCATCTGATGAGGGCATTAGAGAATATGCCTTGCTTGGGGCCTTATTGTAGCTTATTCTCCTAATGGCTTGTGCCCATAAAAGGCTGGGAGCCCAGAGATCATTTTAAGTTTTGAGCAGTCGTAGAGTCTTTTAATTCCAGGCTGTTGGCACTTGCCCAGTAGAGCTCTCTCAAAACCTTAGTCATTTTTTTTTAATCTGTTTGATTTCAATTGTTTTCTGCTAATAGCCACATCCACAATTATTTTCAGACATAACTCTCTCTAAACTTAATAACCAGCTTCCTCGGAGAGTCACTTAACATATTCAGAGGTTTTAATAAGGAACGCTTAGATTTGTTTTGTCATTTATAGCATTTCTCAATTTTATCTCTTCCTAGTTGAAAACGAAAAACAATTGCTTCTTTCCATTCTGTAAGACCAGGAATTTCTGAGTCGTCTCTATTCCTGGCTTGCAAACCAACCAATTCTTTCCTGAACATATCTCTCTTTTCCCCTTTTTTAAAAAAATTACAATAAAATTCACATATAACATTACATTAGCTTCATATGTATAAGATAATGATTCAATATTTATATATATTGCAAAATGATCATCACAATAAACTGAATTAACATCCATCCCCACACACAATTACGCACTGTTTTCCTTGTAATGAGAACTTTTAATGAGAAACCTACTCTTTTGGTTTCCAATATGTAACACAGTGGTATTAACTCTGGTCACAATCCTGTACATTGTATCTCCATGACTTACTTATTTCATACCTGAAAGTGTGTACCTTTAACCCCCTGCACCCATTTCACCCACCGCCCACCCCCAAATCTGGAAACCAGCAGTCTGGTCTCCGTATCTATGAGTTCAGGGGTTTTTTGTTTGTTTCGTTGGTTGGTTTTAGATTCCATATATAAGTGAAATCATACAATATTTGTCTTTTTCTGTATAATTTCTTTCACTCTGAGCTCACCTCTTTCTTGCGGGACCCTGTCAGATACAACCAGTTGCAACCATGCTGTTCCCCAAACTTCTTACCTACAGCCACAGACTCATTCGACATATATCTGTCCTTCAAGTCCTCACAGGCAATGACTTACCAAAAGTTGTGTTTCTGCATAACATACATGGGTCTTTAGCTTTCCAGCCTCCAATAACATTTTTCTCATTTCCCACCACTCGGCCCTGGAACATCGTATTTTAGAAAGTTTGTTAGGCTAGCCTCTCACTTCCGTGTATTAATTTTTGTGTTATTGACTTAAACCAACTGAGCAAACAAGCCCAGAATCTTTATGGCTGATCACAACAGAGGGCATTTCTTACCCACATTACTTTTCCTTTGTGGGGTATCTGCAGGTCTTCTCCACTTTATCCTTGTTCTGGGGCCCAGACAGAAGGAATAGCCCCCACGTGGGACATGCTGTTCTCATGGCGGAGGGGAAAGAGCACATGATCGAACCGCAGAATGACTCTTAACGCTTTTCACTGGATGTGGCATATGTGACTTCTACTCACATTTCATTGGCCAAGGAAGTGATAGAACCAAACCTGATAGAAATGGAGTGGGAGAGTATAATCCTCTCCCTAGGACAGGAGGAACATACCTGGGGAAGCTACACTTGCCCTTCGGCTTCTCTTCCTCATAAACATGGCTTTGAACTTGCATTTTATCTTGTTAGAACAAGGTACATCTTTATTTTTAAGATTTATCTATTTATTTTACAGAGAGTGGGGGAGGAGGGGCAGAGGGAGAGAGAGAAGCAGACCCTGTACTGAGCACTGAGCCCAGTGCGGGGCTCGATCTCACAACCCTGAAATCATGAGCTGAGCCAAAACCAAGAGTCACACACTCAACTGACTGAGCCACCCAGGCGCCCCAAACAAGGTACATATTTAAAGCAAGATGGGAATGGCTCCTTGGGAGCTGTATCATCTTTAGAGACATGTGCATTGTCTGAAGGGCAACACAACTCCAAAGTCCGTGAGGTGTGCAGGGTGTGCGGAGGTGACAGCAGATGGCTGGGTGAGTAGGAAGCCAAACTAGCAGGTGGCGTCTTTTTCTCCAGGACTCTCCGTTGAGGGGGATATGTTGCACTCACTGTATTCCCACTAAGTCCCCTGCAAGTTCTCGAGTATGCTTGGAGCTGAACGTGACAGACAAACTGCTCAGCTGCTACCCAGCAAAGCTGGGAGAAGCTCCTGGAGAGGAGCTTTGGGGTGTTAGGGCCATGGGTCATGCCCCAGGCTGGCTTCTCACCCCCGTGTGCCCGAGACCATCTGACTCCTCTTTCTCTTCACAGTTCGACATGCAGAGGATAACTCTGGAGGAGTTGAAGCATATCCTCTACCACGCCTTCCGGGACCATTTAACGATGAAGGACATTGAGAACATCATCATCAATGAGGAGGAGAGTCTGCAGGAGACGTCGGAGAACTGCCAAACAGAGTTTGAAGGAGGTAGGTACCCCTGCTTCTGCTTTCTACTTGCTCTGGGCTCAGCGCATGCCTCCACATCCTCTGTAGATGGAAAATGTGTTTACAGTTGGGGCTGGGATGCCTTGTACTGAAGCCAAGAATCCAGGACCCAGGTTACAAGATCCTCACTGCAAAAATGCAGCAGTTTATTTATTTCCTTTCTGTTTCTTTCCCCAAACTCTGCATTTTTACAGGACCTCTAGTGACCCTGTCTTTCCTCCAGTGATCCTCTGAGGTCTGTGATTAGATATGCAGCTTTGTGGTGTTTGCCTTTCCTCTCACTGGGGGCCACGTGGAGTGGTACCCACGGCCTGTCTGGGCTGGTGGCAAACTTGGATCCAGTCCAGTGGTTAACTGTGTGACCTTGGCCACCAGGTGTGCCTTCTCTGAGGGTGCATCCTTGCCTAGAAACATCAGGATAATTACACCTACCTCTCAGGACCCTGAGGTATGGTTTACCTCTGTGCTCTGCTCCCTGAGGGTGCTGCTCAGAAAGAGCCCCCTTCATGAAAGGACTCTCGTGAACTTAACCATGGAGTTTCAGAAGAAATAAGGTTTTCCTGGGGCCAAAATATAGACCCATGAGAGGCCATTTTGGGGGGCTCATGAAAGAAAACTTAAGAAAAAGAAACCCCACCTACCTGATCCCCTAATTAGTAGAAAGTTCCAGGTAAGCTAAATAACTGAATTCCTCTTTCCAACTTTGAAAATCAGAACTACTATAACAACGCTGGTGCATCGGGAAAAAAAAAGTTTAATTACATTAAAACAGGGTATCAGGCTACCAGCAATTTTTCCCTTGTTCAGTGCTGAGATTTCTTAAAGAGGTCAAACTATTATTTTCCATTCTTTTTTTTATGAACACTTAAAGAAATCAGTGTACACAGTGGGTAAGCTCTCATGTGGCCACCAGAATAGATTCGGCTGCCTGGTCTTGGAGCTGCCACATTCAAGCCGGCAGAGCACTGTGGCAGGGAGTCTACTCGGGACAAGGTTAGTCTAGGTGGCCACAGTGGCTCATGCACGCCCACGGGTCCTGTCTGGGCTGCATCGTGTGCAGGATTAAAGGCCATGACAAGAGGAAATGGGAAGGGATGCTCATACTCTGAGGCGATAAATGAAATTAACTCAAGCCTGGGAAATAGGGAGTAGTGGGTGGAAATGGGCGTAAACCTGGAGAGCAATGCCCCTTCTAAACTCATTCAAATTTAAATTTTTCAAAAAATGCTGTGAATGGCAAACGTAACCCAGTGGTTGTACAGGGGCTGCCTTGCTTGGCCTCAGTGTGACCCCGGGGCTGTAGCATCAGTGGCTGTATTTGGAGTTGCACACCCAGAGCGGGATGGTCACAGCCAAGGCCATTTGCAGAAGGGGGGAGGGTTGACCCCAGGAGGGTTAGTGGAGGGAGGGAGGCAGAGATGGGAGAAAACTTGGATCTTGGATAAGTTTTCCTTGGTCTCCCCCATCGGTCTCGTTCCTTCCTGTTCAAACAATGGAAGCACCTGGGGGCTCCAGCCCCCACTGTCAGCAAACACTCTTGAGATGGGTGGGAAGAGTATTTCTGGGCATTTTGTTTTCCACAGGAGCCTTCGTCTGTGGATCACTGTTTTGTTCAGAGAAATGTCACAAGTCTTAGTAATTTGGGAAAGGTCAGACTGTGCACGGGGAAGTAATCTGAACTCTAAGCAATGTCTTTTTATTATTCAAGAGCTCATACATTAATAAAGTAAGGGACTAAGAAAGGGATTTTTCCAAATAGAAGTCTTACGGAGTCTGCTTTCATTGCTTCAGACTTATATAACATTGGCAACAGCTACCATTTGGGGGACGGGGGTAATTGAGAAGTTCCAGACTTATAACATTGGCAACAGCTACCGTTTGGGGGTAATTGATAAGTTCCAGTCACTGTACTAAATGCCTTAAACTTTGTGGTCTTATTTAAGAAAAGAAACATTGCTTTATAATTAGTAGATTGCTTTTTTGAATGACCTCTGCAACCTTGATTACATAATCCATTTGCTTGTTTTCACATCAGAGAGTTGGTCTTTTTGGTGTGTTTTGTATTTTAAATATTATGTCAGTGCTGTTTGGCCCCAGATGCAAGCTCACTGCTTTGTGAGGTTTAAGATTTTTCCGATCTCGGATAGGATCAGAGTCACTGGTGGATATATTTAATGCCCACAGCCCTCTCCTTGTTCAAGAAGGGGCTTCCCTGATTGTATTTTTGGGCAGAGTTATCTAGGAAGAGATGCCACACAGGCATTGAGGCCCCCGTGCCCTAGAAGAATGCATTTGAGACTCAGTGGCTGACCTTGACCTTCCCGCCCAGGGAGCTCCTCCCTCCTTCTCTTGTTAAAACTTTGCTGCAGCAAGAAACAAACAAACAAAACAAAACAACTTTGCAGCAGCAAGTGTGTACCCAAAGCCGGGAAATCCATGGGGACTGGGAGTCTTGCGCCCCTTAATGTCAGAGGAAGACATCAATGAGAAAGAAAAAAACCTAGAAGTGTAGGTCTTTGCCTTAAAAGATGAAAGGGCACGTCTATCTCTGAGCAAGGAAGAAGGAGCTGGTCAATGAAACTGATGTTGTGTTGGGGCGCCTGGGTGGCTTAGGTGGTTAAGCGTCTGCCTTCGGCTCAGGTCATGATCCCAGGGTCCTGGGATCGAGCCCCGCATCGGGCTCCCCGCTCAGCAGAGGGTCTGCTTCTCCCTCTCCCTCTGCTGCTCCCCCTTCTTATGCTCTCTCTCCCTGTCAAATAAATAAATAAAATCTTAAAAAAAAAAAAAAGAAAGAAAGAAAGAAACTGATATTGTGTGGCAGAGGGAGAATTTAATCAAATAGCTCAGAGCACAGCAAGGTTGGATTCTGGAGTGTGGCACAGCTTTGGAAATGCGGATTTGCACCATCCGTGTGACGCAGAGCCAGTTAGACATTAACAGGAGACCTTCCACGTGCCCCCAGCATCGTTTTACTTCAGTGATTATACTTTTCCCTTTTATAGATCTTGGGTCTGAGACTTGTACAGAGGTGTTCCGTTTCTGTCCACTGAGTCAGGACACAAACATCCTTCTTTCCATATGAGTGGAAACATAAAGGAGAAATAGACCAGGAGCTCAAGGGGTTGTGGCCCCCGTGATGGCAGAGGTTTCTGGATTTCTTTTTCTCCTTTTAGTTTTCCTTTTGGCTTGATGTTGTTGTCTTTATTCATTTAAGGTTTAGGCCAACACAGACCACAGATATATGCATGAACACACACACACACACACCAGCCCCTGACACATTCTAGTCTGCCTTATCTTTACGGAAGACAGGGCTCTGTGACCATAAAGAAGGAGGAATGTTTCCATCTTCTCCCAGGGGAAGGACTAGAGGCAACAGGATGAGACTCCAAGCTACATAGAAGGAAAGGTTTCCTGACTTCTTCAGGAAACTCTGAGATGGGGGTTCATGTCACGTGTAGAACCCGTTTTCCTGGAGCACCAAAAGAACTCATTTACAGAAACCCTTCTTAAGGCAGGGAAGAGACTAGAAGAATCTAATTCAAGGGCTCTGAAGGAGACCTTACCTTTATTCACACCTGGCTTCTGGATGAGAAGTTACTCGGATTGAGTCAGGCACCTGACCGGCTGTCACCTACCGTGCCGGGTGCTCTGGGCATGAGGTCATTGTACAGCACTGAAGTCAGGGGCTCTCTGGCATAACCACTGGCATAACCCACAAGCCCACAGCCTGTAGGGCCCGGATCCCATGAGAATACTCAGTATGACAGCCCTCCCAACCCCTCTGATCTTTTTGAATTCCCTCATTCAGATAAATTATGCTCAGTGTTCTGAGGTGTCAGTTTTCACTGTTTGTGTTCTAACCATTTGGAAAAATAAATGGGTCAGCATCTACCCAAATGGGTTGGATACAAAAGTATGTGACCCCCCACAATGCGCACTATCTATGCTATGGAAGAGTTTTAAGACATTTTGCTTCTGTTTCACCCCTTACAATCACCAGACATTTAGCTTTTGGGGAACATAAGCTCAGTGACACTGAGAGACACATTCATATTTCATTATTTGGTTCCAGTTGCTGACATATGTGAAACTGAGTGGTCTTGTGGTTGAATCATCTATTTGCCTGTCACCGGCTCCTTATTACGGGTTCGCGTAACAAATTCTACTATATATTAAGTTTGATTTACTGCCTCCAATATGTTTACTGCTTAATTCATATTGATACAGTCCAGGAGGAAACTGCCCAGCATGCCACCCAGGTGCTGGTCATTTGTTAACATGTGCAGCTGACCTGCAAGATTAGTTCTGCGGCCCCACTGGTCCAGATGAGGAAAGTGAGGCTCAGCAGAGTGGTGTCCTTTGTCCAAAGTCAAATCGCGGGTAGGGATTTGAACCCGGGGCTCTCTGACACAGCCCTGCCCTGGCCTCTTCATTTGTTCTTCTGGGTCCTTCAGCCAGACGTAGGCATTTCGGACTCCTTACAGAATGGCACTCTGTCATTACTCATTTTCCATTTCATCGCCAGTGAAATCATATTATATTTGGAAGTTGAGTAGAAGCGCAGCAAGACTGTGTGCGAGCCCTTTCAAGACACATCCCCCAAATGTTGTCCCTAAATGGAATACCAGCTGTCAGATTTTTCTAGACATTCTGACAACATGCACGACAGAAGGAAGTAAAGCAAAATCATCAACGGAGGATAGTTTCTATGAAAGGCATGGCAGAACAGCTCTGCACCGTTCAGGGATGGGATGATGGACAAGAGAAATAAATGTCCAAGGAGGTGACACAGGCCAGGTAGCCCCCAAAGCATCACTGCATGGATGTGTGGGTCATGTTCCCAGCCCTGTGTAGGCTGGATATGTGCTCCTGGATAAGTTATTAATTTTTTAAAGATTTATTTACTTATTGGAGAGAGAGAAAAATAGAGAGATTGAGAGAGAGAGAGAGAGAGGAGGGGCAGAGGGGGAGAGAGAAAG